CCTTGTGGAACTCCAGATGTTGCTGTATAAATTTTGGTCTTACTTCCACCAAATTCAACATATAGTGACCTATCGGCAAGGTACGATTGCAAGAGGGTCAACATAGAGGCTGATAACCCTAACGCTTCAAGCTTTGCCAACAATATACTCGTATAATGATCAACCCGATCAAAGGCCTTCGCAATAACTGTGTATATCACATCTACTTGACCCTGACAATCAAGTGCACTAGCGGCAAACTGAGTGAAACCAGCTAAACTTGTGACCGTAGATCTGCCAACCATAAAACCATGTTGATTTTCAGAGATGAGAGATCTTACGGAGCTGAACATTGTGTTATAAATTATTATCTCAAACAATTTACTAAAATTACATAAAATAGCTATTTGACGATAATTACTTACATCTGAGTTGACACCACTCTTAAATATAGGACAAATTTTTGTCATCTTCCAAATTTTAGGATAACAACGAGATTTTAAAATCAAATTGAATATATAGCGAAGAGGCTTAGCTAGGATATGAATACAATCCTTAACTATGAAGCTAGGTACACCATCAAAACCAGACGTCATTTTATTCTTCAATTTTTTTGATGCCTGTATGATATCGTGTTCACTGATATGATTTAATGATATGTGACAATTTTCTGAAGTGATATTTCTAAAAGTCGACGGATCTGAGGTAGTGAACGCACCCGAAAAATATTGTGCAAATCCATCAACAATAGCTTGAGGGGTATCAAAAACGTTGCCTTCAAAAGACATGGAGCCTGGTATTCTAGACTGATTATTCTTTGAATTTAAAAATGACCAAAACTTACTCGGATCATGACGAATTGAATCTTCAACCTTTTTGGTGTAAGCAGCATAAGCAATTTCTATTTGAGCCTTGATGTTAGTACGTAGCTGCTTGAATTTATTTTCGAAATGAATGAGTCCTGTTTGCTTAAAACAGTTTCTGGCCCTATCCTTCTGTTTTATATTAGTTATAATTTCAGTCGTGAACCATAAAGGATAGGGATAATATTAGCATATCCCCATAAGCTGAGGGGAGGTAAGTACCGCTCATGTACCCTTGTATATATGTATATATTTTATATACGCCCGTGGTCGTAACTACCAACCAATCTCCTCTCCCCCGAAACCTATGCTCCTTCCCCGTACGGAAGTTTGATATACGCCACTGTCAGGATTCATGTTCAAGAAGTCAATTGAAAATTGAAGAGCGGGAGGGATCATCTGGAAACTGAACAAACAAATTAAAAGTAAACACTTTTTCAAAAACAAACTTTTATTTAAATGTTAATAAAGTAAACTGTACATTTAAAAATATTTCTTCCGATTGGAAATATTTAAACTATATTGAAGCTACTTCATAAGTTTTCAAACAAAAGCATGTTACGTTCTAACAGCAAGGTGAGAAAAGGGTGTTACACTCTCTTATTTGAAAATTTGAGATGAAAGAGCTTCATTTCCAATCTGAAAAATTATGTTTCAATTTTTAGTTCATTTTTTGAACACCTTAATAAATGCTTGTTTTTAAGCGTGTATTTTTTATTTTATTTATTTTTTACTCTTTAGTATTTACGATATCAAATAACTAGTTTGGTAATTTATAATTTACATGTGTTTCATTAATTAGACTCCATAAAACTTCTTACAGTATTTGTATTATAAAATTTCCATAGATATAAATCGTATAACTAAATCGAAATTTCGCGACAATCGCCACATGGAATTTAGAATGACGTTATTTGCTTATTGTATCATGTTTAAGCCCTTTCATATCCATGTCATAGCGGCGGCAATGGAAATTATATAGCGTCATATAGCGGCCATATTGGATTTAAAAAATTATAAATCTCCATGTTCACCAAGCCCCTTAAATTGGTACCTATATCATAGGGGTGACTATGGTAATTATAAGCTCTATCTTAAGGCGGTCGCTATATTACATTAAAAATGACGTCACTTTGATTATTGCGTTTCTCTTATGAAGTACTGTCATTTAATACCGATGTCATAGGGCGACATATTGGATTCAGACTGACGTCACTTTGCTTATTGTGTTTCTCTCATACAGACTTTTCATTTAATACCCATATCATTGGGGTTACTTTTGAAATTATAATAAATCGCCATTCTGTAGCATCCGCCATATTAGATTCAAAATGGCGGCAGTTAATTTATTTTGTATTGGCACGCGAATCAAACGTGTGTGGAAAATGTCAGTTGGATTGGTTTTAGTTGACTGGTTCAAAATTCAGTTCCAAGATTTGTCTGACACATACTAACAAACAGGTCAAGTTAAATAAAAGCTTGTAAAAACTCACTCGGACTCGCAGGACACGCCACTCCCTGGATTCGCATCTGAGCAAAGTGATCAATATGCAGGTGATGCAACATCTCGAGTGTCATCTCTTGACCAACACTAAGGCTTCTATAAACTGAGAAAGAGATACATGTCGTTGCTCTTGAGGCCTTGTTTTTGTTACGATTGTCACTTGGGGGTAAGTTACTGGGGGCTGAGCAGACGAAAATTCACTCCAAAAAGCACTATATTGAACATAAAAGGTGGTATTTATTATATGTTTGACACAGTAGAGCACAGCTAGTCTGCATACAGAGTACTCGTAAAGTGGTAAGATATGTTAAACCCCAAGGGTGACTGCTCTAGAGCGGGAATGCCTCCTCACGGCAGCCCAACTAGTTTCTATAGTCAAAATTATCTTCACCTCGACTGAGAAAAATACAATATTGCTGATTATAGGACATGTTTGCTGTCCTTCTCTGTGACTATAACGAACGCAATCATAAGTGCGGCATAGGTCTTAGGTCTAGCCGTGGAGGCAGACAAATGGAAAGCAAGCGAATATGGATCTGTTGAAATACTCAGTATTGTGATGTGCGAAAAATGACGGTGACACTATGCGTCTTAGAAGCGTACTTTCCTAGAGGAAACTGTGGCTTCCTGCTTCCGTACGTACCTAGGGACTGGTGATCTCCTCATAAGGTATTGTGTTCTGCCATATCGACAATCGAAACCTCCTCTTTGGAGCTTCTTCTGATGGTATCAGTATACCACCAAAATAAGTGACTGCCGTTGGGCTATGGTACAATCTTTTGTGCAACCTAAGCTAAGCATTAAGAAAAGCTATTATAAGATATTCAAAATGCGTAATTTGTTCCTAACTCTTCTCAGCTTATAGCAGTAAAAAATGTTCATACAAATGTCCATACTGATATGCTTTCATTACCCTGCATCTAGAGCAGTGGTCGCCAATCTTTTCAGTGTATTGAGCTACTTCGATAATTTTTGAATAAACTGTGAGCTACCTAGTCGTAAGCAATGTGAGCCAACTTAAATGAAATTATACAAAGTTGTATGCTACATATGTACATGTGTTTATTTCACGAATACTAATACATACTAATAAACTTAAATAAACTAATATCTAATACATACTACTTAACTACATCCATTCCTACCAATCTAGGTGTTTGGAAAATAAACCAAATTTTTCGTCAGGTACATTGGCATGTCACATATGGGGTTGTCCAAAACGGACGCAGGAAAGTAAACGCATATTAAAACAAGAAAGATTGATATTCAAATCAAGTTGGGTACTTTATTTTGACGGCTCATTTATACCATTTATGTATGAAAAATAATATCGCTCAAATGTTCACCACGACTGGATTTACAGACGTCCACGCGATGGTCGAAATTTTCAATGACATTTTGCAACATGGTCGGTTCTATAGCATTTATGTCGGCAATGATGTTGTTTTTGAGTTGGTTGTGTGGCATGTTGCACCGTCTCTATCATCACGTGATATCGCTCAGAATTGACGGTAACGGCGTCCCCGGCGTCCGATGATGCCTTTTGACCACAAAGCACACCACACCGTCACTTTTTGAGGATGCATCGGCTGCTCTTGATACTAACGGGGATTTTCGTTCGCCCAGATGCGGCAGTTTTGCTTGTTTACCGTCCCATTCAAAGTGAAATGCGCTTCGTCGCTGAACATGATTTTTTGATGAAAAATTGGCATCAATTTGGCGGTGTTCAAGGAGCCAATCTGAGAACGTTCGGCGCGAAAAATGGTCGGCCCGACGCAGCTCTTGCATCAATTGGATCTTGTAGGCGTGTACATTCAAATCCTTGTGGAGAATGCGGAGCAAACTGGTTCTCGAAATGCCCAATTCTTGGGATCGACGCGTTGTTGATTGTTTCGGATCGTCGCTCACACTCTCCTTCACAACAGCAATATTTTCCGGTGTGCGAACGCTCCTTGGCCGGCCAGAGCCTGGCAGATTTGCCACAGAATCTGTTGCCTCGAATCTACGCACCAGACGACCGATGGTTGTTTCGTTTGGGCGGTTGTTGCGACCGAAATGTTCACGAAGCGCGCGAAACGTGTTTTTTATTTTTGCACCATTTTTGTAGTGCTCTTGAATAACTTTAATGCGGTCTTCAATCGAATACGAGTCCATAGCGATCAATGGTAAACGTTCAACTAACAAAATGACATGTCGGTGACAGAAAACAAATATGGCGTCTATGTCAAATTGACGTTTATTTTCCTGCGTCCCTATTGGACCACCCTGTATGATTTAATAAAGGTAACTAAAAATAAAAAAGCAACGCACTATTATAAACAAAAACATGTCCAAATAAAAAATGCGTGTCAAATTAGAAGCCTGACACTCAGACTCACTGACATTTTTTTTATGTTTGGAGTATAACTTGATACCGCCATTCGAATAAAATTATCCAAATATTAATCTGTAAGTCGATTACGGTATTGGTTTTTAATAAACTTTATATTTGAAAAAGAAGATTCACACAAATAGGTTGAACTAAATAACGCTTTCACTTTCAAGGCAACACGACATAAAACTGAATATTTATCTTTGCTTACTGAAGGCCAGATACATTTTGTATTTGAGAACTAACGATATTAAAGCTGATTCGTTTTCGAATACGCAATCACTTCCATTTCTGTCGCAGCGATGTCTTCCCTAAAATTTTGCGTAACAGAAGTTGCAAACTGTTGAATGTCAATTTCCATGAAGGGTGAAACAACAAATTGCGCTACTATAGCAATTTCGTTGAAATCCTTGAAACGATTTTTGAAGTTATCCTTCAAGTTAGAGACTATTTCTACGTGATAGTTACTGACTTTAAGATATATTTTCTGAAAGAACAGGAAAATGCCTGGTATCGCCATCGATTAAGTTGTTTTCCCAAAACTCCAGCTTTTTGATAAACGCTTTTATATCTTAAATCATTTCTGCTAGTTCTTTGTCTCTCTTCTGAAGCTGCAAAGTAAGTGCATTTAATTTTTCTGTAATATTTACAAGAAAACCAAAATCTCTAAGCCAGATTGAATTTTCCAGTTTCGGAATCGGTTCATCAAGTTTTTTGGAAAATTGAACTATGGCAGATATGATATCATTAAAACGTTTCAGTACTCGTCTCCTACTTAACACGTTGAGTGCGATATCGGCCTCCGGAGACCGATATCAAGCTTCATTGTAATGCGGAGCTCATTTTTTCAAATATTCGTTTTGGTGCGGAATGCATATTTTCGTTAGTATACAAGTTATAAAAGCGAGACATGTAGCTATAAGATCATCACAACTTGTAGAATCAAAAATTAAATAATGACGATATCGGTCTCCGGAGACCTACACCGCACAAACAGATTCAAATAATTAGTAGACGTCGGTATAGGTCTCCAGAGACATATACATAATCTTACGGACAAACGCGTTCGATCCTGTTTCGCCGTCATTTGTGTACCGAATTCGAGTGGATGAAGTTGTGTTTTAGATTTACTCTCCGAAAATGTTTTCTTCCCGCGTTAAAAAAATTATGGAAATAACAAAAAATCTACAAAATACTGGAGCATTGCCCACAGATGTCGACACACAAACAAATACACCTGAAAATGAAATTGAAATCATTGAAGCAGAGTCATCGGACGATGAAAATCAAATAAATAGTCCTGGAAGAAATTATCTTACAAGCGGAGATGAATTTTCCGACTTTGGGAGTGATGATTCTATCATAGATAAAGACTATTACCCATCTTCGTCGGATTCTGATGAAAATCCACATAATCTGTTTGATGATACAATCGAAGGTAATAGATATTTCCAACACAATGTCTGTTTCTGTTGTTTCAGTTTTATTTTTTTTATTTTCCATCCAGGCAGTGCCGCCGAGGCCGATGATTTCGATTCGGATACAGCTGATGAAAATGAAGCTAATGACACCACAGATGATGAAAATGGAAATATGCCGCATGTTGGGCTGGATACTAATAATTGGCAAGACATTGTTGAAGGACAGGTACCTTTTAACGTCTGTAATGAGTCAGCTGAACTTAATTTTGACGTTAGTCAGATTTTGAGTTCACTGGATGCTTATAAACTTTTTGTGACTTACGACATTTGGCATATCATTGTTGAAGAGACAAATAGATACGCCCAACAAAGCTCAAAGCTTAACAGGACGAAGAAATTCAAAATCCAGATTAAATGTTTGGGTGGACACAGATAAAAACGAAGTCATGCGTTTTTTCTCAATTATCCTAGTAATGGGTTTTAACTCACTTCCGTCAGTTAATTTCTACTGGTCAAAAGATCCTATGTTCAGAAATGAGTTTATAGCAAAGACAATGCCACGTGATAGATTTCTCCTTTTACTTCGATGTTTACATTTTTGCAACAACGAAGACCCATTTTTGGATACTAACGACAGGTTGTACAAAATCAAAAACGTATTGGAGGTACTTAACAGGAATTTTCGAAATGTTCTGACTCCTGGGAGAATTCTGGTTATCGACGAGTCTATGGTTCCTTTCAGAGGTCGATTAAAATTTCGCCAGTATATTCCTAATAAAACGCACAAGTATGGTGTCAAACTTTATAAATTGTGTGCTGTTGATGGATACACAGTCCAAGTTATTATATATACTGGAAAAAATGAAAAGGTTGAAGGCCAACAGCATTCAGAAACGATGGTTTTAGAACTTCTAAAATCTGTAGAAGCTAAAGAAGGGCATTATCTTTTTGCAGATAATTTTTATAGCAGCTTGCCTCTAGCAAAAAAACTATATGAGGAAAAAATTGTCTACTGCGGAACACTACGTGCAAATAGGAAAGGAATCCCAAAATCTTTCCAAAAAAAGTTAAAAAACGGAGAGACGTACGGTCAACAAAATGGGTGCGTTAAAATTATAAAATGGGTTGATAAAAGACCAGTTTTAATGCTGACTACCAATCCTACTCATATTAGCACTGTTGAAGCAAGAAAGGGTGAAGATATTGTAAAGCCTAAGTGTGTTACAGATTATAACAAAGCTAAAAAAGGAGTTGATTATAGTGACCAGATGTCTTCATATCACTCGGTTCTACGTCGAGGCCTAAAATGGTACAGAAAAGTTATGAATGAATTTTTATTTGGAACATGTATCGTAAATGCCTGGATCATTTTCAATCGGATTTCAAAGAAGAAAATGTCAATAACCGAATTTAGAAAAACTTTAGCGGAACAGTTAAGAGATCCTCCTACAGTTGTTTCCGAACCAACAACACGTAAAAGGATTCACACTTTCAGAAAACCAACTGGCCCAGGAAGAAAAAAAAGGAAGATTTGTAGAGGATGCTATCAAAACCTTCGGACAACTGTATCCAGCCGTGAAGCAAATAAGAAAGTCACCAAAGTAACAAGTTTTTGTGAAGATTGTCCCGGAAAACCTGGCATGTGTCTTCCCTGCTTCAATAAATTACACACATAATAATAACCTTTGTTGCAATAAATTCATCTAACAGCACATTTATGATTTAAATATTATATTCTTGAAATATATTGTTTGGTTTTACTGGTAAAATATCAAAATTTGAAATAAAATGAATATAAGTGTTATATGTATGCTTAAAATCCATCTAGCCATTGATGCGGTATAAGTCGTCAGGGACTTATACGGAGCCAAACTTACCGTCACCTAGAATATATTTACAGATTTCTGCAATTATTTTTCGATTCTGGTTTGAACATAAAATGTTAGAGGGCTTTAGTTAAACGCTTGCCTATCGGTCTCCGAAGACCTATACCGTGTCAGAATAATGTCATACTATCGGTCCCTGGCGACTTGTATCGCACTGAAAAAATAGTGCCGTTTTTTCGCAACGCAGTCAACGTGTTAACCATCGGACTTCAGACTGAAGAAGTTGTTCCCCGTATTGACAGTCAATTTCATCGGCCAAGGTTTTGAATAATCTTTTTTGTAACGCTTGAGCTCAGGTTCACAATTTTTAATACCAATTTCATAACATTGTGTAGTTTTATAAAATGTCCACATAATGCTTGCTGATGGATAATGCAGTTGTAACAGAGAAATTGTGGAATACTTTCATCTTTACGACATAACCCCACCAGACCCTTACCACGACCCACCATACCTGGAGCACCATCGGTTACCAAGCCTACCATTTTCGATTGTGAAATTTTCTCAGAAGAAATAATATTTTTAAAAAAAGAAAACAAGTCCTGCCCAGTAGTCTGCCCTCTTAGTGAAATAAGCTTCAAAAGATCTTCTTTAATCGTAAAATCACTAAAAACGATCCTGACGAACACGGCCATCTGAGAGGTGTCAACGACATCTGTGGATTCATCCAGCTGCAGTGAAAAATAAGCACAGTTATCGAAGTCATTGCTTGACTATAAAGCTGTATCATTGCTCATTACTTCTACTCGTCTCATCACTGTAATAGCAGAAAGATGCATAGATTTTTTAGCAGACACTATCTCGTCTTTATTTCCGAAGTAGGCAAATAATGAATCTGCAGCTTCTAAAAACGCTTTTTTATCATTTCGCTGTCTTCATAAGGTTTTTTCTTTTGTGTAATTATCTAGGACACCCGGTATGATGATGCTTCAGTTGCAGCATAACAAACATACATTTTTACCTTTAGCTTCTGTAAAGAAATATTATTCTTCCCATTCCGAATGGAAATGGTATGTCTTAATCTTCTTACTGCTGCTCATGATGTTTTTAATTGCAACTCTAACCCCACCGCTGGAGTTTGTGCCATTCAGTTTTAAACTGAGCGCACTGTCGCCGCGCCTTGTGTATTTATTCCGTTCAGAGTAATCGAGATCGTTCTCGAACAGATCGCTCATCACAGTGTTGTCGCTGCTTGTGTTTTTTATGAGAATTTAGCGGTAGCTCGCGATCGACGGGTTGGCGACCACTGATATAGTGCAACGGAAAGACGCGTGACGTAAAGAAAGTAGCAGAGAAAGACGCAACTAAGGTTGAAGGCGGTAGGGAAAGGGAGAACGGACTAATGTAGCTGTTTTAATAGCTCTTTCTACAATACGCGAGGATCACTGTCAAAAATGATACATTATACAACGTTAATATCTAAATTGTACAAGCACTTAGTTGCAAATTACATACAATCCATACTTAAGAACCAGTGATTACTTGTCTGCATCGTATATCCACATCTTCATGCTTCGCAATAAAATCTATATAGCTGCCATTACTGAAGTAGGATACGGTGTAATCAATGCTGGGATGCTATTATTTATCGCTCGTAATTTTAATTAAAGTTAGGGCATTTTCTTCTGCAAGAATAAAACGATATGAAGTGTAGTATCTGATTGCTCGATGGTTTTATCGTTTTTCCTAGTTGCAACACTATTGAATTTTTCCTCTTATATGTACGAGGGGCAAGTAAAAAGTAAGGTTCCCAACGCTGTAGCTCCGCCGCGCGTGTTGCTAGGCGAAATCCGGCGACACCGCCGTGTGCGTCTGTTCCCCCACTTCATTCCTAGCGGCCGGGGAGGTCGCTAAGACGCTCAGTGCCGGCCTGACAGCCGTTCGAGATGGAGCCCGCAATCGCCGTCACCGCCAGGTGCGAGATCCGGGCAGTGATCCGTTTTCTCAACGCCAAGAAGTTACCTCCTGTTGAAATTCATCGGCAGTTAACAGAAATTTATGGGGAAGCTTGCATCAGGGTGCAACACGTCCGTAAATGGTGCAGGGAGTTTTCCGGAGGACGAACAGACATTCACGACGAGCCAAGAAGTGGAAGGCCATCGGTGTCCGACGACGTCGTGGCAAAAATCGACCGTCTTCTCCAGGAGGATCGGCGAGCAACGCTTCGGGAACTGGCTGAAAAAGTGCCTGAGGTTTCAGAGAAAACAATCGACAACATTTTGACTGAAAAACTCGGTTATCGCAAGGTGTGTGCGCGGTGGGTACCGCATATGCTCTCAGAAACCCACAAAGAGAACCGCGTCAAGTGTGCTCGGGAGTTTCTTCAGCAATGTGCCGAGAATACCGAAGAATTTTTGGACTCTATTGTAACGGGAGATGAAACGTGGTGCCATTACGTCACGCCGGAAACCAAACAACAGTCCAAACAATGGTGCCATTCCGATTCGCCCAGACCGAAGAAATTCAAGCAGACGCTCTCCGCAGGAAAAGTGATGGCTACGGTTTTTTGGGACCGTAAAGGCGTCCTTCTCGTGGATTTCATGCCTACTGGGACCACCATAAATTCGGAAAGATACTGCGAGACACTAAAGAAACTCAGAAGAGCCATCCAAAATCGCCGGAGAGGAAGACTCACGAAGGGCGTTAGGCTCCATCACGACAATGCGCGCCCACACGTCTCTCGCAACACCAAAGCCTTAATCGGACAATTTGGCTGGGAAATCGTGGAGCAAGCTGCCTATAGCCCTGATCTTGCCCCGAGCGATTTCCACTTGTTCCCGAAATTGAAGCAACACCTGGGTGGACAACGCTTCGCTACGGACGAAGAGGTCCAGAATGCAGTCACCACGTACCTCAACGGGTTGGCGGCGACGGTTTTAGAGGCAGGTTTTCAAAAGTGGATTTCTCGACAGCAAAAATGTGTAGAAAAATTTGGCGAGTATGTAGAAAAGTAGCTAAGAGACCAAGCTTTCAGATGGTGTAATTTGCAATTTCAATAAAAAATGTCTTACACCTGAAAAAAATGTGGGAACCTTACTTTTTACTTGCCCCTCGTATATAGAAACGGGAAGGATGCCACATCCGCTGATGAGAATGGATAATCAGCTGAAGTGGGCATATATTGAATATAAAAACTTGTTGGATTGGCACATACTAATCCCGTTCCAAAGAAGTCACTTGGAAGGCATCCAGAATCGAGCTACCTTTCAGAAAACTGAACCTTCCAGGGGAAGCTTCATTCTAGGGATGGAGGAGTTATAATGCTGTCCCGTAACAGACTAGAAAATAGAAGATGCAAGTCAGCACATTTACGCAACGCCTGGCAACCGCGAGAAGTGCAATATATTTTCCTTTGTTTTATCCTTAATACGAACATAGTACTTAACACGTAATTCAGTCAAAATTTATCCTTCATACTACCCGTAATTTCGGAAACAAAATATTTTGTAAAACGGCACTTACGCAATCTCGAAATATCAGTTACATCCATACGAGAAGGTCGGGTAATTAGAAAATACTACGATTCAGCATCCAACAGTCTCATTTTAACACAGTTCAAGTCAGACCTGGTTATACACATACTCTCAGGTTCCTCTCAATTTTAAAGGTGTGTTAAGCGAATTTCACACGATCAGTATTACTTTGGTCCATACCATCAACATTCATTGATCATTCCGACAGTGTCATTGAATTTCTACGTACTCTTATACACCAA